CAAATAGTGGTATTTCAATCATATGTGAAATTGTTACCAATATTGATATTGTGCCATACAGCGAGTAGACAAAATTCAATAATATTTAAATTAAGTGGGATGTGACTCGCATGTTGGATCTTGTCTTCTGTATTAAGATTAATTTTCCTTCTTCAGTAGTGGGATTTCACTGCCCAGGGAGGTTTCACCAAATGTTGATATTATACGGCATTCACAAAAATAATTAAATCAAACATTATATTGTCAATTGTCATGGATTTATGATGGTTGTACAAATGTATGTACAATTACAAAACATATTTCATTTGACTTTACAATATGCTGAACAGAGTGTATATTTATGTTAATGTGCAATAGATCTGTGCTATTATCACAACCAGATTAATTACAGATTACTAAAGTTAATCCCCAGTTCCAATTTATAATTTTGCTGCTGATTTGACTTTGCTGTGTTTGCTCAGGAATATTCTAACTAATCATATAAAAAAATTACGGTAAACTTTCTGTGAAGGAATTGATTCGCTCAAAAAATTAATTTTGTCAGCTGTATCTAGTTAAATCATGTATTATTGCTAGACTGAATTAAGTCCTACTCCACCCTTGTTGTTTGTATTTAAATTGGCAGTTTTCTGATGCTATATATATTAAGTGTAGACGTAGTTTATTTTATTTCAATCGTAACTCTAAACCACAAGATATTATTGCCTGGGGTATCAAAATAAAATAACATGCGTCTGTGGCAATTCTGTTTGCAAAAGTTTTTCTTAAATTTGATGACTCATCTAGTACTTGTGGGCTGTTACTTTTTAGTTTTGTTTAAAATTAAATATTATTATTATACATCTGTCACGGTAACGCCATAAGTTACAGCGTGCCGTAATTTTGCGGTATTTTACGGGGTAATTTCATCCTACCATATTAGGAAATGCGAATTCCAAATATGGAATGATTACACGTGTAAGCGTCCTCTAATAATAAAAACAAACATAGCTGCCACCAGAGTTTGACCAGACTCCACACAAAGAAGTTTGGTGCAGCTGATACCGTTCTGAACATTTTGGATGCCGGCATTTCCATGGTGTATCCTTGGAAGGAAAAGATGTATAATAACCCTCATAACATAAAATATATTCAATAAAAAAAAATGTCCATGTTTTCAGCGATTCATCACATAATGGCTAAACATGGAGCTTATTGCATTGTTCTTGAAAGTTGTTAATATGTGTCTTGTTTAATTAGAGGTTATGAAAAACAAGTGAGGGCATTTGGTAGTGGATATATAATGTCTCCAGAGAAAATTAGCATATTTGACGAGAGATAATTTCAGAGCATACTATCTGACACAAAGTGCTAATTTTTCCCCAGAGATCATATGTTTGCTACCAGATACCAGAGTGTACCTTTATAGCATCATTATAAAATTTGTGTGTGGAATATGCAACAAAATCGCTTTTCATCTTGTGCTGCTGAGTGCAAGTTTTCAATTCCCCCAACATCTTCAGCTCTGCTGTCGACTTTGTCAAGCGGAGCTTATCATATGAGTGATTGTCAGTCGTCGTCCGTGTCAATGTTTTACTTTTTCGACTTCTTCTTCAAAACTACAAGCCTGAATGCTTTGATACTTGGTGTATATGTACCTTGGGTAGACCTCTCTTAGATTTGTTCATTTCATGATGATATCTTCAATTATCTAATTTAATATTTTTGTCATTTTTGGTAAGAAGTGTTATTTTCTACTTCTTGTTAAAAACTGCAAGTCCAATTGCTTTGATATTACATATATAGGTACTACATGTGGACCTCTCTCAGATTTGTTCATTTTGTGATGATATCTTCAATTCTCTAATTTTGGTGAATATTTTTGTCATTTTTCGTAAAAAGTAATATTTCCGACTTCTTGTTAAAAACCATGTCCAATTGCTTTGATATTACATAGTACTACATGTGGACCACTCTCAGATTTGTTCATTTCATGATGATATCTTCAATTCTCTAATTTTGATGAATATTTTTGTCATTTTTGGTAAAAAGTGATATTTTAGACTTCTTGTTGAAAACCGCAAATCCGATTGCTTTGATATTACATATATAGGTACTACATGTGGACCTCTTTCAGATTTGTTAATTTTCTGGTGATATCTTCAATTATCTAATTTTGATGATAATTTTTGTTATTTTTGGTGAAAAGTGATATTTTTGAATTCTTGTTGAAAACAGCAAGTCCCATTGCTTTGATACTATACATATTGTTCATTTTCTAATGATATCTTCTGTTCTTTAATTGAAATGTGCATTGCTAACAGCGGGGCTATCTCAGCCAACAGGTTGCTTGTTTTATGGATTGTACCACTATTACAAAGGGGGTGCTGAAAGCCATGGGTTATGAAAATTACCTAATATATGATTATTTCCAAATGGATTTGTGGTTATGTTTGTGTGCACTGGTATTCTTGTACATTTTCAAA